ATGACAGAGTGAGACTCCAACTCAAAAAAAAAAAAAAAAAAATTCGCCAGGCGTGGTAGCACACACCTATGGTTCTGGCTACTTGGAAGGCTAAGGCAGAAAGATTGCTGAAGCCCAGCAGGTTGACGCTGGGGTGGCCATGAGTGTGCCACTGCACTCCAGCCTGGGTGATGGAGTGAGACTCCACCTCAAAAAAAAGAAAAAGGAAAAAGACACACAAAAGCAAACAACTGTGTATATATCTAAGGAATGCACACATTTTCTACACTTCTATTACACACTGAAAAACTGGTATTGGTACAGTCTTCCTAGTTTAAAAAGATAAAATATGTGTTTGTAATATATCAGTTCCATTTTTGTGAAAACCACATTGTACTTATAGTTGGTCTAAGAAACCATTTCAGTTGGAAGATGTGAAATCATTTATTCACTTTAGCTGAATACGTGTGAAAAGATGGGTGGGGTAATTTGAAGATGTAGTAACTTATATAACTATTCATTTTTCTCTTTTAGGACACTTGTTTGAAGTATTAGAAATGGTTTGCTCCATAGGACCTTCCTTAGAGGGTTATCAGTATTTTACGTTTGGAGATTGTGGGAGGCACTGGGAATCCCTGCAGCCCAGTGTGAACAGGAGACCAGATGTCATTGCATAGTAGGGTTTATCACCCTCTTCTTGGTCACTTCATGTCCACCCCACCCTCTTTCAGGTCCTGGGCTAGGTGAGCAGGTTCAGCTGCAGCTATCCTAGAGAGAACAGCATGTTCAGACCTGGCAGAGTCTCAAGTGAGCTCTCATGACCCCCCACAGTCAGTCTGTGGTCGGGCTTTTGCTCTCCTTGTCAGTTGTTGTTCCACTCCTCTACCTTCTTGGCCATCGTGAAAGGGGAGAAATCCTATCTAATTGAGGAATTCTGGCACTGATCTGCACCTTGGAAGGATCTGGGACCACAAGACTATTGTAATCCAATGTGAACTTCAACCATGGGCCTCTCCCACCCAGGAAGTGCCCAGAATGCAGTTGATTTGACTGATGTCACCAGTGGTTTCAGTTTCAGCAAGAACCAGGAGTCAGGACCATGAAGCAAAGATATTTGTCAGGGAACACACTGAACCCCTGAACAATGGAGTGCAATAGAGATATCTGAAAAAAAATCAACATCAGTCATGTCTTTGCTGATTTAGCTTCCCTTTTTTCTTCCTTTCTTGATTTTCTCCTTAGTCTTTACTATTCCCCTTTCCAACTGTGACGTTCACTTATTTCTCAATAACCCATGGTTTTAAAGTTGCTGCATTTGATCCAAAATTAGCAAATAGATACTTTAATGGACTTAGTTGAACTAATATAGCAGTTGAACCACCATTTTTATTTTGTTTTCACTTCAGTTTTCTTCCAACTTTTGGCAGTGAAGTGAAGTAGAAGATTATTTGAAGGCAAGACTTACCATTCTATTGATTCAGATGAACACTACCATGTTTTGACTCGTATTGGATAGTTTGTAAGTTTTATTATTTTAATGTAAGTATAGTCCTTATAATGTGACCATGTATTTTTAAAAGAAGGGCATATAATAGCTTTCTACATATTAATGTGTAGCAAAAATGTTTGAATATTTAAGTATTTGTGAATATATTTACCTACTCATACCACTGAAATGAATAAAAAGTGAAATGAGATTTGGATTCCACCATTCACTATTATAAGTTATTGGCAAAAGAAATGCTAAAAAAAATCTTTATCTTAAGGAATGAAATAAAAACGTCCTTAAAGTCACTATTATAAGTTATTGACAAAAGAAATGCTAAAAATAATCTTATCTTAAGGAATGAAATAAAAACTTAAAGTTACCTCAAACTAAACTATAAACACTAAATTTGATAGCAAGAATTTCAGAATAATGATTTTCTTGCTAATAATGCTTATCTGTTGGTTTGGCTACAGTTTTTAAAGCATTTAACTGGCATGACTTTTATGGCATTATTAGACTTTTCTAAATCATCCTGTTAATTGTTACTACAGCTCTGCCTTTGATGGTATTGCTTTTTATTTCCTCTTGTCCAGTTACAGTGTTTCAATGCCAAAGAAATGTATTTCTGTCATAGATTTCATAAAGTTTTATTAAATTGCTAAATATGATGACAACTTTTGATAGGTTGAAAAATCTCCAAGGAGAAATTGCATATTGTCACCCAAAGTTTCAAAGGAGCATGCTGTTTTATTTAATGGTGCATGGTCAGGATAAAGGGTGTTATAAAAATAAAATAAAGCATCAACTTGAAAATTAATTTAGTCTGTTAACTTTGCATATGTCTCTTTGGACATTTAACAAACACTGAAGGTATATTTGAAGATATTTTTAGTAGATAGATACCTACTTGGTGTTAGTTTCTTTACCATGCTGTCCTTAATAGAGTGCATAGTAGAACTGAGGAGGGGACATATTTGGATCACAGTATTATCTCATAGTCTGCAGGAAAATCTTCAGTTAAATGTATTTCAATTCACTCAGCTCCCTCAATAATATGACACATTTAAAGTTTATAATGATATGATGATAATTTGGGGGCTGGGGAAATATGTTTTTAGAGACATAACCAGTTCTAACAAACTTAAAAACTAGGCCAGGTGCAGTGGCTCACACCTATAATCCCAGCACCTTAGGAGGTGGAGGCAAGAGACTAGGGGTTTGAGACCAGCCTGGGCAACTTGGCAAGATGAGACCTCATCTTTACAGTAAATCCAAAAAAAAAAGAAAAATTATCTGGGCATAGTGGTGCACGCCTGTGATTCCAGCTACTTGGAGGTTGAGGCAGAAGGATCGCCTGAGCCCAGCAGGTCAAGGTTGCAGTGGCTGTGAGCATGCCACTGTACTCCAGCCTGGGTGACAGAGTGAGACTATGACTCAAAAAATAAAGTTAGCCAGGTGTGGTGGCACACGCCTGTATTCCCAGCGACTCAGAAGGCTGAGGCAGGATGATTTGAGCCTAGGAGGTGGAGGCTACAGTGAGCCATGATCATGCTACTGCACTCCAGCCTGGGTCAGAGTGAGACCCCAACTCAAAAAAAAAAAAAGTTCAATAACATAAAATAATAAACTACGTAACAAAAAGGAACAAAGTGGAAAGTTAAAAAGTCTTGTACTGAAGGTGGATGTTTAGGATGGAATAAAGGCAGAAATAATGTTTCACTCGTTGATTTGTAATAAAAAGAGTGGTTTTGCATTTTTATAAGGCTTTTTTGGCCAGACTACTCCGATCTGCAGTTACATATAACCTAAACAGTGGCTTTTTAAAATCTATTCATGGATCTTTATTTAAATTTAGAAGAACCTGTACAAAAATAAAATAAATGCTGATTGACCTTACTGAAATTCACAGTAATTATTTTAAGTTTAAATTGCTTCTTAGGTTAATTATTCAATAATTTCTCTTTTTCTCAAAGGACCTCCATTTTATATTCATGAAAGCAACTAAGCAGTTATCATCAATTAATGTATCCAGGCTCTAGTAAGTTGTTTTTTTAGGGAATGTGGAAGTGGGGGACAAGATTCTCTACCTACTTTCCAGCATATTGAATCTTTTTTTCCTTTAGGTCTCAGGGTACTATGCTGAAAAATGTGCCATTCTGAGAAAATAATCCAGTACAGACAAAACATCTTTGCAGTGGCCACATGATTCACTTAGAAATCAACACATGAAGAAATATATTTGGATTCACACACTTACAAGACAAGTTGTCTATCGACTCTATGTAAAATTGTATTGCTACTCTTCTTAGCTGGCAGGGAAAAGAAATTACAAATCAAACATATTGTTCCTGATCCCAATTTGTATATTAGATATTTTGAGAGATGGCTTAATCTAAATACTCTTTTATGTGTGTGTGGGTTATGTGTATTTTATTTGAAAAGCTATGAACTTTGACTCTTCTAGCACTGGCAGATTCCATCTTAATCTGGTGACAAATATATGACCTTTAAAAGTAAATCATTGCTGGAGGATGTGATTGCCACCTACAGTTTCCCAAATGACTTTAGATGTAGTATACTGTGTACTTTATCCAGTACACATATTTGATTGGTTTAGGGTTTTTTGTTTGTTACTGTAATTTAAAAAGTATCCAAAAGCTAAGATTGCACATTTTTAAAAGGAGAACTGGGAAACTGGTTCTGTCCTTGGCTAGTGATTAGAGGGTAAGTTAAGGGAACTGCTAGAAAAACATGAGATTTAGGCAATGTAAAAATGGCTGCTCATTGGGAATGTGGATTGGTATATTAAATCCATGTTCTGTCCTTTCATTTTGGTATATTAAATCCATGTTATGTCGAGGAAAAAAAAGAACTGAAAAATATATGTCCTTAAATTTGTAGATTTGCTTCCTGTAGCCATTGAGCACTGCACAGATGGCACAGCAGCATAGTTGGGAATGAGGGACATTAAGTATTTTCACCTAACTACATAAACTTGGGAAGAATTTAAACCTGGGAAGGGTTTCCTCTTCCTGTGTTTATACAAGTCTTAGTTCAATTCTTAAGAGAAACCAGTTCATTGAAATATACCTCAATCATTCAGATGCTTTCATTATAAGTAACACTGTAGCTAGCTGTCAGTAAACTGGAGAATAATCTT